GTGTGTGCGTGTGCGTGCGTGGGTGCGTGTGTGTGTGCGTGGGTGCGTGCGTGTGTGTGTGTGTGTTATAAGCTTCCCCCACAACAACCCCTATTCCAACCAGATGAGTAGAACCGGTCTGAGTCCGCCCAACACTTGAAAAAAAAATTATCTCTTTAACAGACAGCACGAATCATAATAGAACCATTTTGAACCGTGTTTAGCTAGGGTTTCTTTGGGGCAACAGCTCCTCTTTCACTTTGCCTCGCACGTACAAGGCTGCCCACGTTGATGGTGGTTGAGCGGTGTGTGTGTGCGTGTGTGTGTGTGTGTGTGTGTGTGTGTGTGTGTGTGTGTGTGTGTGTGTGTGTGTGTGTGTGTGCGAGTGTCTCTCTATAAATGGTACATTGACCTGCGAGAAGGTTAGCATCTTTCTCAACAAAGGGAGTAATACACGAAATATATTACATTTTAGGCCATCCGCCATCAGATGAACAACAAGAAGAAGAACACAAAGACGAAGGAGTAGTAAGAAGAAGAAGAATGGTGAGATAACACTCCAAATCTACCCTGCAAATGCAACACGAGGAAGGCAAAATCAGTGCAACATGGGCGCTGTTCCCTGAAAGGGAGTCTTTTACAAAAGTGACGGAAAATAAGTTGCCTGCAGGCCTATTTGTAGCAGATCTCCAAGGTCGAGTTCAAGAATACACAGCTGACCGCACATTAGAAAGGCTAGCAACGGGTCGGCAATTACTTCACTAGACTAAATTCGCAGGTTTGCATCCAGTCAGATCATCACCTTCGCATCCTTCGGTTCCCCTGAGTTTCAAGAACACGCCGCAGCATCGCAAGTACTGTGTCAAGATGTGTGGTTGCTACCTGCGAAGCATTGAATCAATACAACTGATATTAGACATGCATCCATAAAATCACAGCATACCATCTTGAGCTGATTTTCTGATAACCGTGGCTTGAGATATCTGTGGGTTGAGATTACGTATACGGCATATGAACAAAACAACGCCCAGTTAAGGACCTTCATGTGCCCAGACAATGGCACCCGCCTCTTCTTCATGATCAGGAGGTAAACAGCTCCACATAGCAAGACTCCCAGCACATACTCGCCCACGGGATAACATCGATACAGTACTTCAACGTTGATTCACCTTCCAGCTAGTGAGCACATAGATGTGTGTAGCCTGATCAGCAATAGGCAAACAAGAGGGTGCAATGGACAATGGATGGGCAGTGAGAGTGAATACCTGCATCATTCAAGATTTGGCTACATCACAACACATCTACAGTGGAGTGGATTGTGGAATCCTGCAATGGCATAGAACGCATTGCAAGCTAAACATCAGGTGAGACCAGCTCACTCTGCATCCTCTTCCTAAAGGTTTCTCTCCCTGAACAGGTGGCGTGGTATTTTGCAGAGATTGAAAGCACGTAGGTGCTATAGCTACACAGCTATGATTCCCTTGCGTGTCATTTCAGGGCACTACCTGGTCAGATGGCCGAGTCTGGCAACCACTGCACAAACCCCAGAAAATAAAAACTTGGCTGGTGTAGAGTAGGAGGTTAGTGCCTCCCCAAACTAATGCATGTGGGTGGATTCGGGCACCGGAGAGCTACAGCAAACTGCTGATGCCCACATCCTCGGCAAGAACAGCCAAAAGGAAAAGAACTGCCGCGGCAACAGATGAGCACCAACTTCGCCAAGAAATTTCATCGAATTGAGTTGGAGCGCAAGCCGAATTGTTGGAGCATACGTGTCGTGACCGAAGCCCTGCGTCGCGATCAGCCGATTGCATGACCCATAGCCGAGAAGTTGCATGAGAACGCAGGATGGGAAGACGCAACAACCTGGACACAAACTGTCATAATGAATGCCCTGCCTTGTGATCGGCCGATCGCACGACCCATAGCCTGCGATACCAGTGCCCATTGATGCACTCCAAGACACCCCAGAATCCTCCAGATGCATAAAAATAGTATTGTAGGGCGAAGTGTGTTCACGGAGGGGGGAGAGAGAGAGAGAGGGAAAAAAGAAGAAACAGAAGAAGAAAACGGCATCGTTTGGGTGGTCTTGTGCCAAAGATGGAGGTCCATGATGGGTTGATGTTGACCGCTGTAATAGTATTTTCCTCCTTTTTCCATCTTTTTGGTATGATTGTGTGTATGGAGGGGGGTTTGTTGTGGAGGTTTGTTGTGGAGTTTGTAGCCTAACTTGGGTGTGTAGTCAGTGAGTGCATAGCGGCGCTCTCTTGGGGAATGCGGGCTGGTTCTAGTCCAGGACCATTCAGCTGGATCTAATCCGAGGCGTTTTATTTCTGTTGCGGGTTGGTAGACTCTGTTTCTGTCTCCTTCTATGACCCGGATTCTTCTGAGGTTGGCTGAAATGAAGGCCCCTTCTGCCCTTGGTTCTTTGCTGATGAAACTAGCTGGGTTTCCTGGTTCCTGTAGAGGATGGATGGAACAGAGTATCCAGTTCTTATTCTGTAGGTTGCTGTTTGTGACTCCAAGTATTTCTGCGGGTTGTGTTTGTTCTCTATTTGATGCCCACTCTCCCCACATCCACTTTTGATTAGTCTTCAATAACTGACGCCATTCTAGAGGTATGCTTTCGATGATGCGAGTGATGTTGGCCTGCAAATTATGGCACCCTTTTAGTAAGTTCCGCAGATCCTGCGACCATAGTAATGAAGTGAAAAGGAAAAAATCCAAGAAAAGGGAACAAGAAAGATCTGGTAAAAATCCAAGAAAAAGGAACAAGAAAAAAATTCTTCAGAACTTCAAAATGAAACAAACAGTGGGTGCACTCCGAAGCTGTGGAGCTTCACTTGTTCAGAACTTCAGAAAAAGAGAAAAGAGCAAATATTGCTTGCACTCTCAAGCTGCTGAATTTCAAAATTCACTCACAAACTCAGGATTGCTGATGGAAAGGTTGCATACAACCCAGGCAGTCAGCAGCACTTTGCACAAGCTATCTGAACTTGGGTGAGATCCGACCTACCATGCCCAGACCCATTGCAAGCCCATCTCTGTGGGATTCCACAGATACATCTGCTCTCTTGTACATCAGGTCAATCTTGTCCTTCACGTAAGGTTTGTCCTCTATCTTCCCAAGAACAAGGCCCAAACATCTGTGGCATAATGCACACATACCATCAGAATTCATCTGTTACACAATGGCTCCAGGGTGCTTGCAAAAGTCAAGCAAATGCAAAGACAATGACAGGATTTGATATCTGCTCCATACGTTGCAGCAGAGGCAGCCCCGGTACAAATCTAGAAAAAACTACAAACCACTTCAAAAACATCTGGAAGCAAAAATTTTAATTGCAAATTAGTCAGATTGTGGATGAGGGTCACCTTTTTTTTTCTTTTCCTTTTTTTGTACATACAACAGGTCCTTAGGGCCCTGGCTCCATTTCCATTCTGGGGAGCATCAGTCCGGTTCGTATTCCACCAGCAAGTCAGAATAAAATATTACATCATGAAACACACTCATGCTTCCTTCCGTCTGGCCGAAGGAACCCTGACCAGCATTGATTACTCCAGCATCGTGGAGGATTGACTGTCAGCTTGCCTTACTTCCACCTTTCCTCTCAGGCCCGCTGCATGAACCTGCTGTAACCAAGACAGACTGCAAATTGACGGATCACTCAAAAGAAAAGCAGACGAAACAGACAGGGGGTCCGCCACGTCTGCATCGATTAAGGGGAGACAGGCATCAACAGGATTGGCTAACGCGCTGTCCGCTAATATGGGGACAGGCGCCAGCAAGATAAGCAGGCAGGACAACCAAAGCCAAGAGGGAGCTCACCACACAGCAGGAGGGTCCGGTCCCACCAACATGGAAGAGGATCAACCCCCTCACTCTGACCAAGGGGAAGAAATGGACAGCAAACAAACCACCACACAAGACTCAGTTGCAGACCCCAGGGGAGCAAGCACTGAGGACATGGCCTCCAGAAGCAGCAAAAAGAGAACCAGATCAAGAAGGAAAATTAACCATACAGCTGCAGATTCTCAGAACGGGGGACAGAAGCAGAAGAGGAAGACGAGGATATGGAGGGAGAAGAAGACAATAAGGAACAGGACTTTGACTCAATGGACTATGTACACGAATATGTGAGATTCCTGGAACGGGAAAGAACAGTTGAACTGGAAGTAAGATTGCCACACCACAAGCATCTTCGCAATCTCAGATCAGCAACCAAAGTAGAGGAAGACATCAGCTTGGGGAATAGGTTTGAAATCCTCAAGAAAGAGAGGGAAATGAACGAATTTTATGCTGCCCAATACAGCATGAAAACCAAAGTAGAAAGGAACAAAATCAGGGTCGATCACAACAGATACACACAACGCTTCAGCTGGCCCAAAAGTTATACAGAACAGAGAACAGAGAAGAACACTAAGAAGCAGAAAGCAGAAGAAACACAGAAGCCCACTGAAGAAAGAGAGCAGAACGCGGAGAGTCCGGCAGAGAGTCCGGCAGCTGAGGAATCAATGGATGAGCTCAAAAGACAGACAGCAATCTTGGAAGCACAGGTAAACGTCCTTAAGGACCAGAACAGGGAATTAGACGAGAACTGTCTGACCCTCGAGGACGTAGCCGCAAGCGGACACAAGGAGATTGTGGCAGCAGCCAGGTTGGACGCCCACAATAATCCCAATAGGCGAACCGTGGTGCCGTATCGTTGGAACACTACCTTGGGGTATTGGGAGATAGCATACCACAGATCAAATGAGTTGATCTCAGCACTGGACCAAGAATGCACACAGAGCACACTGAGGGATCGCATCTCGGACAGCGTACCAGCGAAAGGCCAAATCCTGGGAACCACATGGCAAGATTTGGAGGAATGGAAAGACAACGAAAATGAGGCGCAGACGACCGACTTCAGGCCACTGCTGATAGAACTAGAAGAACCAGCAACGCTAAAGGGTGATTTGGTTTGGGTGCCATGGCTGGCTGTCGAAGCTACGCCTTACGGATTGCTGGGGGGAGAGATGACGGCGGAAAGAGCAGCCCTGAGCAGCTCCCTGATTTCGGCATACATGCTCTTTGCAATCACCCCCAAACAGCTTAATGAGAAAATGTGGGAAACTGTGGCAACTAAGAAGGATCTGGTTCCTTCCGGCTCTTAAATAAAAAACATGTTCTAGCTCATGGAGGACAATCTGAGCTAATCCAATGGGGGACCAAACAAGAGAGAGACAAGAACCCCCGGCTCAGAGAAAATTTCGCCTCCGCCAACCCGAAGCAGACCTCAGAATCATGTCTTGGAACGTTAATGATATGTCTTCCTTACTGACCAACCAAATGAAGTGGGACAATTTAATCAAGGATACGGAGTGGTTTGGGAGGAATCCCCCAGACCTGCTATGCATACAGGAAACCCATCTAACAGACTCCTGAGAACACCAAAGAACCCAAGCACAGATCATAAAGAAACTGAGATGGGTGAAAGAAGCAATCTGGGCTACGGCTCCTCGAGCCAACTCTGCAGGCGTGGCCATACTAAGCCACGCTAAATCCAAATCAACAAATAGAATTATCAAGATGAACTCAAACAGAGACACAGAGGAGGGACGATGGGCCAGCCTCGACTTTCAAATGGGAGAGGAACAATTCAGGTTGATGACAATATACAGTCCAAACACACTGAGTCAAAGATTTAGACTAGTCGAAAGTCTCCTCCCGAGATGTGTGACTGACAGACCACTTATCCTAGCAGGAGACTGGAACGCCACGCTGGACCCCGTGCGCGATCGAGTCTCAGGCGGAAGATTGGGATCAGACCAAACAGCCTGGAACGAAGCCCTCCCCATACACGACATGATGACAGAAAAGAGTCTCATGGATCCGTTCAGAATTATATACTCAGAAAGCAAGGAATTCACATACTTAAAAAGAAATAGAAGTCAACACATATCAGCATCAAGAATCGATTATTTCTTAATATCAGAATCTCTTACGGTTGCAATCAACAGCGTGGAAATAGGTAAACTCCCTTACTACACAGGGCTAGATCACAAACCAATCTCCCTATCTCTCAAATTAGGAACCGCCCCTAACAGAGGACGCAGTTTCTTCAAAATTAACAATTCGCTGCTTAATACCACTGAGATGAAGGAAGCAGTTCTCTCCGCCTGCATCAACCACGATAGTGAAAACCAAGACTTCCCAGAGCTGGTTTCAGCCCTAACAGAATCCACAGCAAAAGCATCCAGATTGTTGGCCGCAAAAAGAAAGCGAAGGGAAGAAGAGTTAGAGCGAGCAATGAGGGTAGCAGAGAAAAACCTTATGAGCAACCCAGGGAATAGCCTCTATGAAAGAATCTTTGAGCACACTAGACACGAGTTATCGGAGTGGGAAGAATGGAGAAGCAAAGGACTGAGGATGAGGGCTCAGGTTAAGGAATGGGAAGAAGGCGAGAAAATGACCAAGTTCTTTTTCAACAAGATCAAAACCAATGCCTGGAACGCAAGCATAGAAAAGCTCCAAACAGAGCAGGGGACATCGTCCAACCCACAAGAAATGCTAGCAGCAGCAGCCAACTTTTTCCAAAATCTGTACACTTCAAAAGAACAAGAACACTCAGAATACGAAACAACGCGAGCCAGAACAAAGTTCCTAACATACCTGGACAAAACGATTTCAACTGAGCAAGCAACATCACTGGATTCACCGATTACAGAACAAGAAGTATTCGAGGCATTACAATCAATGAAACCCAACAAAACCCCGGGCCTAGATGGTCTCTCTAAGGAATTCTGGGTAGCCTTTTGGCCAGCACTGGGAGCCGAATACTTTGCATACCTAGACAAAGCATGGACTAGAGGCTCACTGGGCAAAGCCTTAAGCACATGTGTTGTCTCTCTTCTATACAAGAAGGGAGATCCCACAGACATCAAAAACTACAGACCAATCTCCCTATTGCCAGTCACATACAAAATTCTCGCCAAGCTCCTAGCAAACAGAATAAGAACAATAACAAGAGCTGTTTTCACCTTGACCAAACTGGTTTCATACACGGGAGATTCATACTAGACAATGAAATGACTCTTAACGAATCTGTCAGGTACATCCAGGATAAAAGAATAAATGCCCCCATCCTATTCTTTGACTTCGAAAAAGCTTATGACCAGGTAAATTGGAACTTCCTGCAACAAAGCATGGAAAAGATGGGGATAGGCCCTAACTTTCGGAAATGGGTGCACATTCTCTATGCTGAAGCCCATGGCAGAGTACAAGTCAATGGTCACCTCTCTCACACATATCGTATGTCCCGGTCAGTGAGGCAGGGGGACCCACTAGCAGCTCCCATTTTCCTTTTCATCATGGAAGCCATAGCATCATTTCTGAGGAAAGACCCATCTATAGAGAGACTAGTGGAAGACAGACAACACCCAATCCCCCTACCCACCACTATCATGTTTGCAGATGACCTGACCGTCCTAATACGTGCCTCAGACTCGTCGTTTCAAGCACTGACAAGAGCAATGCAGGACTTCCAAATAGCATCAGAAATGAAGATCAACTGGCTCAAAACAATCGGTTGGTGGCTTACATATCCACAAACCGACACTCCACCAAGCACCCCTGAAGGCATGGTTTGGTCAAGAGGCAGTGAACCACTCAGATTCTTGGGAATACAGATGTCCAAGCAAGGCCCTAATCCAGCTATGGCGCCGGCAATAATGAACAAAATGATAACCAAACTCAACAGCTGGTCTAAAGCCTATACCTCATTATTCGGTAGAGCTCTAATCCTTAACACATCCATCTTCTCAATGCTATGGTACGCAGCAACAGTATGGAGCCCACCAAAACAGATAAGACTCCAGCTCAGAAGGAGAGCAGCCGCCTACCTATGGTCTGGAGACCCCTCCAAAGTCAATTTCATCTCAAAGGTAGCATGGAGATACATCATACTCAAGAAGTCACAAGGCGGCCTAGGAATCTTGGACCCAGAGTTACAAATCAAGGCGCTGCAAACCAAATGGATCATTAAGATAATAACTAACCATAATCTACCATGGACCAAGCTAGGATTGTACAGGACTCAACAACTAGCCAAATACAAAACGCCTGATAACATGAGGGGTGACTTCTGGATCATGTCCAAATCTT